ACTAATATTAATACCGCAATATCTCAGCAGGTAAAAGATCCTGATAAAGCCTGGCGCTCCACATGTTAGACAGCATCTTATGAATCAGCCTTCTCAGCCACTATAACTTCTGATGGTAAGTTTTTCCATTACTTCAATAAATGCTAGAGCCAGCCCAAAGTTACAGGTTTTGGGTTCATAAGACAGTGCCCAAAGATGAGATACAGAGGATGTAACCTGAATACATTTCTCAGAGTTTAACCTCAAAATTAAATCTGTGTTTATTTTATTGTGCTGATAACACTGATTGTCATCAGTATCCTAAATGGAGTAATAAATTCTGCACAGTAGTGAATTTAGAAGTTAAAAAAACGGGTAACCTGTCAGATTAATAATGAAATGAATTTTTAAAGGAAGCTACAGTGTATGTCCTATTTTTACATGTCCATGGCAGTTCTGCCCATGACAGTCCATCCTCGAAGAAGAGTGACCTTGTTATAATAATTGATAGACATAGGTGTTGGCAAGTTGCATCTCTTCAGAAAAGTAAGGAAGAATTGGTGCAAATGAAAAATGTACATCGGTATCAGTTTGCTGAGGGATATTCTTAATATACCTTAAATAACAAAACTAGTTTTAAAAAAAAAGCATTAAAAAGTTTAGCTGGGGCAGAATGACTAGAAGAATTAACTACAAAGCTGTTAGAAAATTCTGGGCATTCGTGGGAGAAAAAACAGTACTCTGCAATGAAAATGCAAAAAAAGGTTGGTGTAATATGAACTGGTTAATATAGACAGTGAATTGTACTACACACAGCGGTCATCCAGGGTAATGGGAGACATAAATGACAGCTTGAAATTTGTGAGTGTACAGTATAGGAGTGTCTTTAGGCTCCATGCACTGAATATGTTACAGGTTTTTTTCTAAAGCAGAACAGTGTTTTGACCCAGAAATGTCCCCATTATTTTTGTTGGCAAAAGAATATATTCTTTTAATCTCAAATATGTTTTTATAAAATCTTAAAACCTCAAAGAAAAATGGGTGATATCATAGGAAATGTATCAAATTGTGGACAAATACAAAACTTGACTATCTTCTCACATACCATCTAGTTATTTCCAGTTGTGTAAACTGGAGAATAAAATGCTAAAATTCTGATTTGGTAATTGCCAGAATTCTAATAACAATCCACACCTTGCAAATTCTGAGTATTGGGTAAAGGCAAAAATTTGAAAGTGTGTGTTGAGAAACTGAATACAGAGAAGTGGGTGTAAAGTACAATCAAAGGAGGAAACTAGAGAAATTGAAGATGACAAAGTATTTGAGACAAAAGGATACATGGAAATACATGGTGGAAATAAAGGATTTGTGATGGAGAACTATTGTTTTCCCAGGGTCAAGGAACTGAGGGATTTAACTGCAATGACCTGTAAATGATACAATGCAGAGCATCTGACTGTGCAATAGAAGTTGTACCATCTTTCCAAGCTCTGAGTCCTAACTGCCTAGCAACTCAAACCTCTTCAAATGATTTACCCTGGTGCCAAGTTCTCCAATTTGTGCAAAGATGCTGTTTAGTTCAGACAGCCTAATTTCATAAGAATTGGTGTCAAACAGGAAGCATCCGCTAGAATTAAGCTCTGGCAGTGTTTATTTGACATTGTAGTCAAATAAGGATGCAGTCTGACCCACACTTTTTGACATTGACATTGTTTCATAATGAGAATAGTAAGGGGGACACAGCACAGAGTGTCAGGGCCCTGGGAGCACTAACTGGCCTTAATGGCCCTGACTGACCTCACCTGGGGCCTCCACCCACACCCTTGTCCATGGGCCCAGGGGTTCCATTTAAGCTCAGCCCCGGCCCATCAGTCCCTGCTGGAGCTTTATCAGGGATGTGCTTGTCCCTGGCTGCTGTTGTTCTAGCCTGTGACCTGGCTTCCTGGTTTGACTTTGCCACATCACCACGGGCCTGCCTAGTAACCACTGTGTCTGGCCACAGTTACCATCATGGGACCTGACCTGGGGTTTGCTTTCCTGGTATGCTGGTTTTGGCTGGGATAGAGTTAATTTTCTTCACAGTAGCTAGTATGGGGCTGTGTTTTGGATTTGTGCTGGAAACAGCATTGATAATGCAGAGATGTTTTTGTTATTGCTGAGCAGTGCTGACACAGAGTCAAGGCCTTTTCTGCTTCTCACACCACCCCACCAGTGAGCAGGCTGGGGGTACACAAGAAGCTGGGAGGGGACACGGCCAGGACAGCTGACCCCAACTGACCAAAGGGAGATTCCACACCATACAACATCATGCTCAGCATACAAAGCTGGGGGAAGAAGGAGGAAGGGTGGGATGTTGGGAGTGATGGTATTTGTCTTCCCCAGTAACTGTTACACGTGATGGAGCCCTGCTTTCCTGGAGATGGCTGAACACCTGCCCGTCGATGAGAAGGAGTGAATGAATTCCTTGTTTGGCTTTGCTTGTGCGCGCAGCTTTTGCTTTACCTATTAAACTGTCTTTATCTCAGCCTACGAGTTTTCTGACTTTTACTCTTCTGATTCTCTCCCCCATTCCACCAAGGGGGAGTGAGTGAGCAGCTGTGTGGGGCTTCATTGCCAGCTGGGGTTAAACCACAACACTTGGCTTGACCTCAGCCCTGCCTCACCACCATGAACTTTTCTGGCAGTCTGGATGCCTGGTTGGTTCTGACTGCCAGCCCCTGTCCTGCCAGCCTTGCTATGGCATTGGGCTCCCTGTTCTGTAGGATGCAGCTAGCCCTTGTGGCTCCCTGACATGCACAATTGTTTGGCTCAACACCAGGATGTTAAAACTACTTCTTTTAAAGTGTGTGCAATGTATCTTAGAGAAGGGCAAGAAAAATGCCCTCTTTGAAAGAGTGTTCATGTAATCCTATTGCCCTATGGGAAACTATGAAAAAAGGTGAACCTGATCATGCGGACCTGCAGAGGTGGAGGTATAAGCAACCAGCTTGTATCAGGAGGTGCAGAAGTGGCAGGGAAGGATGGCTTGGGCTGGAGTGACACCTGTTATGTCACTGGGGTGGTAGGGCACACGCTGTATGAACTATTGCTTATGTGACAGTATTTTGGGTTTCAATTCCTCTGCTTCCAATTGTCTGCAGACCTCAACTCCCATTGTAATGCCTGGATCCAAGCTGGTTTTTGGAGAAACTGTGGCTGTAGGCAACTCTCACAGGTGGATGTGTTTAACAGATGAAAGGACAATAAACCAGCCATAGTTGAGTGTTAGGGCTGACAAGACCTTAGAGCTGGGCCTCAGCAGTGTGTAGGGTGGACCACCTGAAGTCTATGCTAATGAACAGGCTGTGGGGCTGCATTCAAGTGGGTGCCATCTGTATTTTCCATACTCTGACAGTCTCTGTCTTTCTGTTCTGTTTGAGTAATCCTTTGAAGGACCAAGGCAAGGCACCTGGTAATTATCCTTCTTTTTTTGTTTGAGTAATCCTTTGAAGGACCAAGGCATTAGTGATGTTACATGTAGGTCCTTTGCAAGTATGTATTTACTTAAATAGTATTGTTTAAGTGTTGCTTTTCTGTGCTTTTAATAGCAAATGAGCTCCACAGATGCTAAATTGGATACTTGGGAACGTAAAGCAAACTTGACGTATTTTTCCCCCTCCCTGTTACAAACCACTTGTGCCTGTCATGCTCTCCACAAAATGGCATGATCAGGATTTTGAGAATTAGGGATGCGATTCTTCACTGCAGTCCCAGTTTATTCAGCTTCTTGTTTATGAGGGTTACAGAGAAAAGCTTTTCAAAGAACATTTTTAGGTAAACTGAAGTGGGACTCGGACACGAGCTGTGGATATTGACACTTCCCAATTGCTCATCGGCCTCGGAGCAAGGTGGGCAGGTATGTTTTATTAACACCACAGCAGTGAGGGCTACAAATAGTATTTACCCAATAAGAAGAACGAATAATGACAACCGTAACTCTCCTGCAAAGCACCTGAAGTCCCTCTGTGCCTAGGCGGGGTCACCGCTGCAGCGAGGGGCCTGAGCGCCTCCGCCGGAGAGGGCAGCACCTCGCCCGACGCGACCGTGGGGCGGGCCCGGGCCCGGCGGCTCCGGGGCGGTACCGGGGA